CCATTTGGGGACAATGTTTTACATCAAAAATTTAGCAGTCCCAGATTAGCTTCTGTTGCACAGGAGTCCTACATGCCATGTAAAGGCCCTCCTAAAGGCTGCACCAACAAACAGAAAAAGAGTAAATAGCTGCTTAAGTCATCTCTCCTACGTTGCCTGGTTTGGGTTGCTACCATTTTACCTGAAAGGGAATTTGTAAAAGGGAAGGAGAAGTCATGAAACTACTAATTCCTTGATGCTTCCCTAAGAAAACTCCTCAAACTGTTCATCCTGAAAGATCTTGATCGTGGGATGCTGCCAGCCTCCAACACTTCTGAATATCCTAACTCTGACAGGTATTAAGCCTACCTTCAGCAGGCTACAGATCTATCTTTCCTTATGAAGTCTTATGAGATTCATCAGCAAACTCTGTCATCAGATTTTGGATTGGTTTGCTCTTAATTTCAGACTTCCATCGTTAGAACATAATCCTACACATCTTCATGGAAAAACTGAATTTTTCTTCCAATACTCTTGGTTTCTTTCCAGGAAGCAGCACCATGTGGGTTTAGTGATGCAGCCTTTGAAAGAGGTGGGCACAGCCTGGAACGAGCCCTCAGATCTTGTGTGAGATACAACCAGTTCTCCTTGGAGTCCTATGAGATCTGTAATATTCAGAAATACGGGCACAGCGTGGAGCAAGCCCTCAGATCTTGTGTGAGATAGATACAACCAGTTCTCCTTGGAGGCCTATGAGATCTGTAATATTCAGAAATACTGTGATGAAGAATGCTGCTCTCTACCTAAAGATAATCAGTAAAGCACAGAACATCACTCAGGGCATCTCTAACAAAGCATGAATAAGATTCCCTTGCATACAACAGTTTTAGTTTGTCAGCTTCTTCACGCGAAGAAACACACAGTGCTGTGACTGACGGCATGTTTATTAAAACGGCAGATGGACAACCAAGCTAAAGCGTAAATAACAAAATGTCATTAAAAAAAAGAGATAGAAAGCCAAAGAACAGCAGAGAAGGCAAGTCAGAGAAGAAAACAACAAAATTCTCTACATTCTCTTTAACACCATGATCCACAGGCAATCCCAATGAGGCTGGCACACATCCAACCTATGGGAAAACTTTTTCATGTTCTCATGATTTAAAAGGATGAAGCTGCCTACAAACTGGGGAGCAATAATGAATGTTCCGTGGACTCTGTTGGTTACAAAATCATTATTAAATCCTATTCCAAAGTGCTCAACCTAAGGCATCTTTATCTGGTGAAATATTTTATCCAAGAAATTTGCGAGTTAAGAGAGTCAAGACAAAAGCGGAAGGTAACACACCTCAGACTTGGAAAACGTGGTCAGTTAGAATGCAGAAAGCATTAAGGAACAACCAAAAGATACCCTGATATAGGCAGCAAGAGACTGGAAGCCCTTCAGATGGCACATAATACCAAAAGAATTGCTTTCCAGTAGATATATGGTTGTATTACATAAATGAGATATAATTTCTCACCATATTCACATAGAAAGTCAAGAAAGGCACATGTGTTTCTGTAAAACATAACTTTGGCCACAGTGAGATGGCAAAACCACAGGAAACATATGCTAATTTTGCCAAAACATAATGAAAATACTTGAGATGATATGGCATGAGAGCAATCTAAAAGGATTTCAAAAGACAAGTCATCATGAGTCTTTCTAAATCACCTCTATACTTCAGCTACTGAAATGTCACTATATTTTGCATTTTGATAATTTCCCTTAACTCTGTAGGGGACCATAAGGGGATTTCAGAAATCATTTAGAGAATCACTTCCTTGGGGAACAGCAAAACACAACAAAATCAGAATTGAAAACATCCACCTGCCAGCTTTAACTGAGGAAGACTTGTTGCATTTTACCTGGCATTTATATAACTAAAAAGGTGAAGTTCACACAAGGCAGAAACTCTGCTGCAGACACAGGGACTGGAACTACTCTTCCAGGGCCCCCCATTTAGGAAGACCGTTGCTTGTTCCCTTCTCTTTACATTCTTTTCTGTTAATAGCCGTGAATAAGAAAACTCAAAAAATCTCATAGCTGGAAAGCTAGAGAAGTGATGATCCTGCTCTGATCAAATAATCCCTCAACTGAAAAGAAAGAAACATATAGGAGCAAAACAACAACTAGACGAGAGAAAGAACAGGCCGGCTCTGCGCTTGGCGAGCTGAAGAGCTGGATGGGAGCTCACAGGAGAGGACACGTGAGGCGCGTGGTGAGGACAGTTCCCCACCTCATGCGTTTCTGCTATGTCACTCTGCAGCTACAGAAAACAATTTCATGCCTGCAAAGGTTACAGATGCTTTGTCATAGCTTTGCTTACAGTTTTAGCATCACATGCAAAGCATCCTGCCTGTCTGTATGTCACAGGCCAGACTATATTTAAGCTTTTCTTCTCCAAAAGAAGAGTTCCTTGCCATCATAAATTCCTCCTTAGCTTTCTGCAATGATCTTTTCAGCTATATGTACATTTTGCTGAAGCTGACAGTAAAAAAGAATCCTCGAGGACAGAGGAAAGATCAAATTCTCAGAGATAATCTAGAAAAAAAAATGACCCAGTCACACAACAGGGCTCTGCCTTAAATTCAGCCTGTATGTCCTTCAGCTCCCACTCTGGGCTTTGAGCTGGGAGATGCTGAGTTGCAGAGAAGAAAAGTGGTGCCTTTATTTTTTTTCCATGCAAAACTAATAAATTACGTTACGTCTTTCATCCTGTGGAATCCAAGCTGCTTTACAAGCTTCAAATCCAGCCCATAATAAGTTTACAGCTGGACTAGGAGATCCTGCAATGGCAGGATCCATCCTGCTCCCTTGCCATAGCCAATCCAAGGAAGAACTTGCGCAGTGGACCAGCTTGGAAATAATTCCTGCATGGAAAGGGGAAGGACAGGAATGACACATGTTCAGCTCTTTCCAAGCACTGTACATGTGATACTAAAATCTTAAAGCAGGTAGTTCCACAATAAGCTTCTTTCAAGGACCTTGGCTTTTACTGATATACGCTGTTTTGGTTTTATTTCCCCCAGAAAATGTGCCTAGTTCAGTAACTACTGAACAGCCATATTTACTTCTGGCTCCTTTAATAACAGTCTGTAAGAATCTCACTGGAAAGGGACCATCACCCAAGCAGGAAACAAACCCAGGAGAGCCAAAGCAGCATTTCCCCAGGTGAATTAAAACCAAGAGCAGGAGAGCTTGAGGAGAACAGCATTTGTTACTCGTTTGGCTTTCTGCTCTTGTTATATTATCAACAAATAAGTATATGCAAATAATACACCCTTTAAAATATATTGGTGATGTTTTCTCACTAAAACGAATCACTCCTATTTGTATTAATTTGCATATAGAACATGCTGTCATATAGGAGAATACATATGGTAAATGTATATAATGATATTGTTTGTGTGTATATATACATGACAGCAAGCTGTCAACAGTTTCCCCAGTAATCCTCTTGATTTTAAATGATTAAATATTTCTTGCCTCTGAATCAACTAGTCACTGGACTGAACTGGAGAACCAGTTTGTTGCCTGAAGCAAATCCGGGCTCAAGGTGATCTCCACTAGCCTTTAAAGCTTTAGACAAATGTTGTTTTTTACTTGCCTAATTTCTTCTGGATGACTGTAGGACATCCTAGACACAGTTTGAAATAGATACTAAAGCAAAACAAAGCAAAAACATTATTTAAAATAAATATATTTTTATTGCACTCTCAGTAAACCCTGGAGAAAACCAAAATGCAACCGAATCCTATTCTTCTGGGTTTCCTGCTGCCTCCCTTTTGATCGAGTCGGCATTTTGAAAAGGGTTTGGCCCAATGTCAACACAACCCGTTTCATCCTCTTTCCAGGCATTTCCTCTGCTCACAAATGCTCTTGGCCTCTGAACTCCCAGTTTCAGCAACTTCACATCTCTTCTGTCTCCCAAGGGTGCCCTAAGCCAGTTCAGCCTCTATTTTACAGCCCATCTCACATTTGGACTGTTTGCCCCATGCAGGGGCTACAGCTCGCAGACCTCAGTGGGTAATTTCAGTCTTTCCTAACCTGCACCGCACCAGAATTGGAAATCTCTTTCACAAGCAGTGACCAACAAGCCAAGAAAGCAGGAACTGGCAAAATACATTTTATCCTGCTCTAGATCAGATCCCAGTTACTATTCACCAGTCCCCTCCCACCACCCCACTAATGGGCATCTTCAGACCTGCTGCTTCGGGTTCCGCCCTAGGAAAGGGTCAGCATCGTCCCCCTTGGGCATTCATTATCCCAGGACCATTAATTAGGCCCAATAACTGCAGTGCAAACTGGCATGTGCTCAGCATTTAGCCTGGTAGCAGAAAGAAATGGGAGGGAAGCACATGAAGCCTGCAGCATGCATCTTTAGCTGGATAAATTTGCATCAAATATCAAAATAAAGAAAGGCAAATAACAAAATCGGGCTCCCAATCAATGGATATTCCGACAAAAAAGGGGTTTGGGGTTTGCAAGACTAACCCTGGCAATTAGTTTCTCAGCAGTTTGGGCTTCTCTTAGGCGATCAGGTTGAGAAAACAGGCATTGCAGGATGCAGAGACCAGATGGTTTGGTACTGAAATTAATAAACACCCCGAAAAGATAATCTCTCTATCCAAAACACTAATAAAAAGTTATGCAAGGGGAAAAGAAAAAGGCTACATTCTTTATCTAGATAAAAGAACATTTTGTTCAGCCTTGGAATATCTATTGTAATTAAATGCTCTAAGAACATGACAACAGCCTGGTGCCAGCCATGCATACAAAAGAGACAAAACAAGACAAAAAAAAACCCCAAATCCGCAAGCAGCATGCATTTCTTACAGAGCCCGAGGGATGCTGCTTCCCAGCACGGTCCTGCAGTGCACTCGGGCTTCCCTTCTGAAACGGATGCAAAACCTACACCCTCTTAAAAAAAAAAAAAAATCAGAACTGAAGAACCCCCCGGGCAATCGAGACGACTTACAGCTCTGAAAAACCCCGCAGTCTGGCTGGAGAGGTCCATGGGAGCCTTGCAGGAGCAGCGTCTTCCCCCCCGCCGGGCGGATTTGCGCGTCTCGGGCTCGGCTCCCGCAGCCGAAGCTGCAACAGATGGGCCCGGGCTGGGCGGGCGGCCGGCTCCGCCGCGGGGATGCCAGGGAGCTCCGGGGAGCGCGGGCGGCCGCTCTCCTTCTTGCCGCAGGTTGCGTGCCAAAAACGCCGCTTTACGCCCCAAACGGCTCCGGCGCAAGCTGCCGCCCCGGCTGCGCGCGTGGGGTGCGGGCAGGTGACCAAGCAGTCGCTTGGGGCCACCGGGGAAGTTTGGGAGCTCCAATAGGCACCGATATTTTGAATGCCATGGGAGGAAAAGGGATGCTGTTTTCAAGAGGAAGAAGTTTCAGATAACTGCGGCTGCTTCACAGCCTAATTCTTCAGGGAAGGCAGCGCAGAGCAGAGGATGCATTTCAAAAGCGTGTCTGTGTTGCTCCCGTGCCCAAACCAGCTGCAAGTCCCCGCTATCTGTACCCAAGTCACATCATTTGTCTGCCCTGAAGTTCTCCCATCTCAGCATGAACCCCACAAGACTTCTTCAACTCTGGAATTTACTATAAAGACCTCGTTGGGTTTGCTATGAGAATGAGTTGGCTAAATGCAAAGGATAACAGTGCCATGAGACGCACGGATAAGAGGGCAGATTAACCAGATTTTGAAAAGCCAAGGTGGTCTCTCACATGGACAGAGGCGGATGCTAGCTCAGCCATGCAAACTCTCCAAACAGACCTGAGGGAAGGAGGGGATTTTTTTTGAGTTTTCTTTTTCAGTAGGAATTCTTTGAAAAATCCCGCTTTATAATAACATTCAGCTTTGGTTATGCCCCCAAACAATCTCACACAGTGTCTGTTACTGGAAAAGCAATAAACCCACACACCACAGGGCCATAGCTTTGGCCAAGACGCTCTCAAAGGCTCCCACAGATGGAGTCCTCCCTCTAGAACAAGCTGCTGGGCAAAAGACAGAAAGATCATGTTGCAGATTCCCGTATTTTAACAAAAGACATCAAACTACTTGGGTAACGAAATGACATGAAACAAAATGAAGCAGAGAGCCAAACACAGAGCCCTGAGGCGTAGCCAAACCCTTTCTTGGACATCTCCAAACAGTATCCGTGATGATGTACTGACGTTTTCTTTAATTAACAGTTACCAGTCTCTAAATCCAGTGGTGCCACTGGCCCCGTTTAGGCCCCGCTCACGGCTTCTGTGCCGTATTTGCAACTCAGCCCACCTCACTGGCAACAGGGCCCAACCAACACTGCCCTCAGTTGCACATAAAGCAAGTAATAAATATCCCTGAAGCCGGGCAGGTTTCTCTCTTCACCAGCATCAGAGCTGCTGGAAAATGCCCACTGTCCTCAGGTCTCCTCGGAGGGCTAAGTGCACTTCCATTTGAGAAAACAACGCTTTTCCGAGCAGAGCAGCAGAAAATGGTACATATTGTTCACTCACAAATGGCAGGAATCACTTGCACCATTTTTAGCCAGCTCAGTAACAGCCTTTCTTTAATAGGGGTGACAGAAATGAACAAATATTTAAGATTTAGTCATTTTTTTCCCCTAGGTAAATAAATATTTTAAGCGTACAGAACATACAAATACTTTGGAAAAAAATAAAAAACAAACTTCTTTCTTTTTATAGATCTGTTTTAGCAGTACCAGAGAAACTGGTTAACCAGCTGGGGCAAGGTAAAGACATTGGTGTCTCTTCCCCTGGAACTAAAGGCTGAAGTAAGACATCTGTGGCCAACCAGCAAAGGGCAAAAAAGAAGACTTTTTTCTTCTTGAAATAAAAGAGGTTCTCCTAAAAAAAAAAAAAAAAAGGACTGCAAAGCTCAAGTGCTTCCATGATAAGTAACTTGAAAGGATGATTATTTTGATTATAGATAAGATAAAATAAAATGGGTATTAACAGCCAGGAAAATGTCTCATATCCCTAAATCATCCCTTTTCAAATCCCTCACGGGACTCAGTCTCAAGGAACCAATTAAAAGAAACATGCAAACCTATTAAAGGGTTTTTTTTATTTCTTTAAATCTTCAACTTCTTTGAGGCTCAGAGTCGGATCTGGCACAAATTCTACCTTGCAAACATGCCTTTTCCTCCTCCACCTTTGGATAAAGAATATACAGTAAAAGAAACAGATTGCACAACTCCATCGCAGATAAGCAGCATAGTTAATGGTTTAAATACCATTTCATAAATAGTCACTGAAAGAGTTTTGGAATTCTGTCCAGTTTCTGACATCCATGAAAACCAGTTAATCATTTGCCGTGTTCTTCCACCCTTCTGGGATGAAAAATAGGTAGCTTACTATTATTATTGTCATATCTTACCATTATTTAATGAGTGCTCACATTTGCACAGCATGTGTCATGCCAAGAAACCCCAAGCTACTCTTGAATCTACAAGCATGGGGTGGGGAAATCACATTTATGTAAATATTTATGTACTCAATTAATTAATACCTGCCTTATAGCTGAAATATTCCCTGATCAAATGTGGCTCAGATGTGGCTGGGTAGGAAACTAGGTGAGAGGGAAAAAATCTGATTTCTGAACAAATAATTTGTTTTACACAGTGGTTGCAGGTGCACTTGCTGCAATCTGAAATATTGCTGTTTTATATGGAAATAAGTGAAATGCATCCACTGCCATGACAAAAAGCAGCTGTGAGGGAGCATAGAAATTATTGCACAACTGTGTGTGTGCAACAGGAGAAATCGTCCAGATAATCTCATTAAATCATGGTTACAACTGTACTTTAATCACAATTTCTAACAGTCTGCAGGAATATGGATCCAAAATTGCAGGCATTTCATGACATATTAAGGACAATTCATAAGCCTGCAGAAAATGCTTTGTATAATCAACCTTCCCCATAACAACAATTTCCAACAGGTATTAGCATTCAAATATATTTTTTAGATCTATAAAACTTTTCTTAAGTCTTGGTGCTTAAAGCCTATTCATCATGACTTGTATTATAAATGCATGTTTTAGAAGAGATTTCATTTGGGCACACTTCTAGAGCATTAACACATTTGAAATGATTATATGATTTTCACATTTTACAGGGCAGTAACACCGTGGAGGAAAATCACAAAAAGGCACTTGCACCTTCTACAGCAAATCAAACACATGCATATAGTCTCCAAATCAGAACAGAGAGAAAGCAGGTTCATAACTAGCACATTCTTACCAGTATAAGCCTAAGAAACTAACTGAAATAGAATGAGATTTGTACCAGCTAGGTCTTATTTTTCCATTTGAAAGCCAGAAAAACATGAGAACTCAGGTTCCCAGAGGCTGCCATGTGCTGACCATTTAGTAAGCTGTGAGATCCAGAACCCCGACCCAGATTCTGAATCACATTCAGTGAATTCTTATAGGGCTCATGCTTTTTATTTCAAAACACTCTATTTATATAGATCCCAAAACACTCTATTTCTTCTTCTTCTTTGTCTACATACAAGCATGAAGGCCCATACATTTCACCTGGCAGCACAGCCAACTTGCAAAATTCCACAGAGGAGACTCAAGGTGTCTTGCTACTTGGTTGCTGTTATTTATATTGTACAATTTTCACACAGATTGAATAGTTTTGTACGGACAACATACATTAGAAGAGTAGATAGGGCCTTCATCCATTAAATCTACTCACACTACCTAAGCAGACCTTTGAATCAGTGAAGCAGAAGCTCAGCTAAAAGAAGCAGCTCCTTGAAAGTCAGGAATAGCCACAGCATGGCTTGGAAAACTCACACTGCCCAAGGGGATGATGGAGTGGAAAGAGACGCTGAAGAGAGAAGGAGAAAACTGCTGAGGAGCACCACAAATGACACCTGTTCTGAGTAGGACACCCAAAACAGTCTCTTGAGTGTTTGGGAAAGGCCACCTGAGGTCTGCAAAAGTCGAAATTAAAAGAGTACGGGAAAAAAGT